GGAAGAGTGTCAGAGGGATCAGCAAGTACAACGGCCCTGAGGTGAGAATGTGCCTGGAGTGTTCAAGGCACATCAAGGCGGTCAGTGACTGGGGTGTAGTGAGTGAAGGAGAGAGAGGTAGGAAATGAGACTGAAGGTGTAACAGCAGACCAGATCCCATCTGGCCTTGGCAGTCATTGGAAAGATATTGGCATTTTTCATAATAATGAGAGGTTTTTGAACAAAAGAGAGAGATGATCAAGAGTGCATTAAAGTACCTCCTGCTGTTGAGAATAGACAACAGACACAGGGAGGCTTTTAAGAGACCATTGCAATAATCCAGATGAGAGACGATAGCTTGGACCAATGGAGTAGGTGAGATAAGCGTCTTGAGCGGTGGGCAGCACAGAGTGAAGGATGGAGGTGTGGCAGGATACAGTGTTCTCCCTGGAACAGCCCACCTGCCACAAAGAGGCAGAAACTCAGGAGCAGAGGCCCTTCCTGAACCATTGCTCTATCCCCAGTGAGAAGCACAGTGTCAGGCACATTCTAGGTGGTTAAATGTTGCAAAACAAAAAAGGAATGTAAAACCAAATGTCTATTTCATGGCTGCCTTCTGCTGTAGAACATTCCCCTCACCACTTTTGGCCAGAGTCATTTCCTTTCTTTGGTTATTTATTTATGAATTAGCACCTTTAATGTTTATTTGTGTCCTAAGAAGCCTTCCATTTTCAATGACCTACATTAATTTAAAATGACAGATGAGTAAAGATTCCATTGAACCATTTCTTTCCATCTCATACCTTCATGACCTGGAAGTACCATTATTATATTTCACCATTAGAAAGCCTAAGATTGATTGTAACTGAATGTATTTTTTTTTTTTTAGGGAACAACTTAATTCTTTATTGAAGAACTATAACAGTTTTTATGCAAATCAGGAAAATCTGCATATTTCATATGTACAGGTAAGTCCATGAAAAAATGAAATACAGTTGATTCAAAGGAAAAAAGTTCCATAAAGGTCCAGAGGAGCTGGGATGAGTTGGAGTTCATAAGCCAGTAGCACAAATGGTCTGAGAAACAGGTTCATCTTTAAGTTGATCATAATTTTTTTAAGTATATCACAAAAATCCCAGTCCTGGGACATCAGTAACTTACTCAGCATTTTGGGGGAAAAGGAAAGCATTTAAAATAACTTTAATGACATATTTGCTTTCAGCAATTCTACTAGAAATCTATCCTAATACATTCTTACAAATGCACCAGGATGTATACAGAAAGCTGTTCACAGTGATATCATTGGTAATGGAAAAAATTTGAAGGTATCTTAAGTCTCTATCAATGGAGAGTTACTCAATAAATCATAACTATATGGCATATCTGTAACATAGTCTGATTTGGTTGTTAAAATGCATGAACATTAAAGTGTACGTAAACCGGATCATAATAATACATTTTCAAATGTTAAAGAAACAATTCAGGAAAGTCCTGAAGCTAGAAAACATTTTCAGGGGTGCAACTTAAAGGCTACTGTACACACTGACTTTAAATCTCCTTCCTTCCTTCCTTCTTTTCTTCCTTTCTTCCTTTCTTCCTTCCTTCCTACCTTTCTTTCTTTCCTTCTTTCTTCCTTCCTTCCTTTCTTTCCTTCCTTCCTTCCTTCCTTCCTTCCTTCCTACCTTTCTTTCTTTTTTTCTTTCTTTCTTCCTTCCTTTCTTTCTTCCACCCTTCTCCTTCCTTCCTTTCAGTTGAATGCCTCATTCTCCACAGTCTTTTATTCTAATGCTGCTCGCTTCCCATTTTTATATCTTCCTGGTCCCAGGGAATATTATAATTTTCTAATATTCTGGTTGAAATACTCAAATATGGTGGTTGAACACTGACTTTAGGTCACCATGATTTGGCTTAAATCTGCATTTGGGACAGAGGATATTTACAAAGCACTCTTATGTTTACTAGTCAGCTTAAATAATTTACTTCAATTGGATATTTCAATTAACTTCTCAAATGTAATGATATACAGAAAAACAACAGATCCCTTTAAAAAGAAATGGACCAAATTTAAAATAATTTCAATGACTGAGAGATCTCTTGTTGGGGTCCAGCACCAGTAGGTCGAGGGATTCCCAAAGGTGTGGACAGAGTCGGCAAAGAAGGAAGGACACGGAGACAGCATTCAGTTGATCAGCATAGCCAGGTTCTCCCGCCAGGTTCTGTATTTATTCTCCTGTTACATCTGTATTTATACCAGTTGATTTTAATCCTATCCTTTTATTCCAAAGGTTAGGGTGTTTGCTATCTCCATTCCAAGGTCACTACTCTATTGTTCTGTTAAGCTACAAGGAAGTAACTGAAGGAGATTATCCTAAGTAAAGATTATGTAGTTTACTCGTGATTGTTCATAGTTAAAGTGATTAACTACCCGCCTGGCACTTAGTTATGGGGTTTTACTGATTCCCTTCCTTAGTCTGTTAATCCCTAACTCCAGGGAAAAAATCCCCACCTGGGGAAACAACCTTTCTTGGAGAGGTGACCTTGGTTAAAACACATAGCTCCAACTAGGGGAGCAAACATATTAAGAACAGTGTGCCATATACCCCAGGTCCCTTGAAACATATGCTGTGCAGATGTTTCTTCCCTGCAGTGACTGTGTCAAGCAGCAAGGATGGACCGGCTTCCGGCAATCTCTAATATCTATAATTATAAAAATATATCTGTGAGATCTCTAATATCTTCTATAATTATAAAAATATAAAATTTAGGAAAAGGTAAACACTTTAAGAAAATGATGATTTACATTTTAATTCAATAGTTCCCACAGAATTCATGATGTTTAGAAGTTTGTTTTGTGCTTTCCTCATGCTGCTTAAGTTCTAGTAGGCAGACAAGAAACAGGAGTAAAATGTATGGTATGTCAGATGGTGACAATGGCTGTGGAGAACATCAAAGTGGGGAAGCAGGCTCCAGAATCTAAGTGGGGTGGGGAGGAGAAGTAAAGATATTTACTTATTTAGTGGGGAGGAGAAGAATTTAACCATAGGCTCTGAATGATGTGAGTGAGCAAACTTTGCAGAATCATAGAAATCAGAAAGCGTTTTACCATACTGTGCCCTCTGATGGGCATGTCATCATCATTGTGACTTACTTCACTGGTTATAGCTGTTTTCAAAAATAAAAGAATTTTTCCTTCCTTTGTTAATTATTCCCAACTTAAAGAAAATCTTCCAATGCTAAAATAGAATTATTTTGAAGATAAATTGAAAAGCCAAACAATCCCAGTTAGAAATTTATTTATTAAGATGTTTTACATTCTTAATTTCTACATCTTCAGTTGAAACATTTACTGTCTATAAATAATACAAAAACAATGTTTGAGATGATTGATTTCTTCCCTAGACTGAAGATGGTAAACTAATTGTTGAAGGAATGTTGGACATTTTCTGGGGAGTAAAACGGCCTATACAGCTGAAAATACAAGATGAGAAGCAAATCCCTTCTTTTACTGAGAAATCACCAGATGTCTTTTCCAAAATGTAAGCTATCATTTATGTTTTTAATTCTTTAAATAATCTTCATGTTTACCTTTATTGTATGCACTCTTACAGAAGGGAGCTCTTCTAAATGCTTACATACAGTCTCACTGAATCCCTTAGCAACTCTATGAAGTAGGTGTTCAGAAACCAGAGCTCTGAGTTCAGTAATTATGCAAGATCTCTAATCACTATGTTAATAGTTTGGAATTACTGTCCAAAACATATAGCAGAACTGGACTGAACCTCATGTCTACAGGCTGGAGAGCCCGTGCTCTTGATCTCTCTGCTGTATTGCTTCTCTCCTTGACGGCTGCATGCCTTCATTGGAAAAAAATAAAATGTATAGATATGTATAGGCAAGATTTCATTAGCCCTGGCCTGTTCTCTCTCTTTCTCTCTCTCTCTCTCTCTCTCTCTCTCTCTCACACACACACACACACACACACACACACACAGATACAAATTTAAATTTCTCTTGAAACAAAGGGCTCTTTCTGCTTTCTGGAAAGGAGATTTAATTATGCTCCACCTGATTGTCCTGATCCTGTTCAACAAGGCACAGCAAGTGTATCTGAAGCTCAGTAAATACACAAAACAGTTCTCTGGGTGGGTTTATGAAACCATACCTTGAATAAATAAGTTGGGCTGGTTTTTTCATTACCTTTCATTATTTTTAGAAAAGCAAATAAATATTCTCAAAAGGAATCATATGTATATGTTTTTCTGTATTCTTCCTCCCACTAGCCCTTCCTACATTCCTTTTTTATTTTAATTTTTATTAAAGCATAATTGGTATACAATATAATATTAGTTTTAAATGTACAACATAGTGATTCAACATTTATGCATCTTACTGTGTAAACACCACACTAGTCTAGTAACCATCTGTCACTGTGCAAACTTATAACACTATTATTGACTCTACTTCCCTTTATCTTTTTCACCCATTCCTCTACCTTCCTCCCCTCTGACAATCATTAATTTGTTCTTTGTTTCTGAGTCTGTTTTTCTTTTGTTGGTTCACTTGTTTTGCTTTTATAAATTCCACATGTAAGTGAAATCATGCAACATTTGCCTTTACCTGTCTGATTTATTTCACCCAGCATAATACCCTCGAGGTTCATCCATGTTGTCTCAAAATAGAGGATTTCATTCCCTTTTTTTAATTACTGAGTAATGTTGCAGTGTGTGTGTGTGTGTGTGTGTGTGTGTGTCCTTTATTCAATTATCTATTGATGAGTACCTAGTTACTTCCATGTCTTGGCTGCTGTAAATAATGCTGCAGCAAACATAGGTGTGCAAATATCTTTCCAAATTAGTGTCTTTGTTTTCTTTAAATAAATACACAGAAGTGGAATTGCTGGGTTGTATGGTAACCATAAAACTCTTAAAAGAGAACATAGGTGGTACACTATTTGATATAATTCTGAGTAATATCATTTTGGATATAACCCCTAGAACAAGGGAAACAAAAGCAAAAATAAACAAATGGGACTTCACCAAACTAAAACGCTTCTGCATGGTGAAGGAAACCATCAATAAAATGAAAAGACAACTAAAAGAATGGGAGAATATACTTGCAAATAATATATCTGGCAGGAATTGCTATCCAAAACATATAAAAAACTCATCCACTCAATAACAAAAGAATGAACAATTCAATCAAAACATGGGCAGAGGACATAAAAAGACATTTCTCCAAAGAAAACAGACAAATGGCCAAGAGACATATGAAAAGGTATTCAACAGCACTAATCATCAGTGAGGAAATACTTCACACTGTTATCAAAAAGTCAACAAGTGACTTTTAACCAGCAATGGTGAAGATGTGGAGAAAAGGGAGCCCTTGTGCAGCCATTATGGAAACTTCATGGAGAGTCCTCAAAAAAAACTAAAAATAGATCTTCTATCATCCAACCTCCCTTCTTCTTTAATCCTTGAAGTTGCAGCTCATCTCCCTTTTGTGTGTGCGTGAAGATACTAAACCTTCACCTCACTCATCCTCCCATCTATAGGTAGATGGGCAGAGTTCTAGCAGAGCAGAGGAGAGGATGGAGAGAAAGCTGCCAGGACAATTTCCCCAATCTGGTCTTTGGCCACAATCAAGAAAAAACAGCTTACACCATGAGAGAAGCTCCGCTTTTCCTTTGAAGAAAACACTGAAGCCCCACTATGATTTGCACCTTGCCGATCTTTCTCTAACATGATGCTTCAGCAAGTCTGAATATTTTTTATTCCCTTAACATAGCATACAGTTTCCTACTTCACTAACTCTCTGCGTGGAAGTCTACTTGCTTTTCCACACCTATTTTCAGACTCTTCTACTGATCCTTGTAGATTCAGGTCAGATAACGCATTCCCTAGAAAGCCTTTTCTGACACCTCAGTCTGTACTAGATGCACTGACAACTTTTCTCTACCATTTCAGAGCATGCCACTGCTTACATTGTTATGCACCTATCTCCCCCTCTTGCTTTGGGTTCCTCAAGCATAAGGAGCATATCTTATTCATCTCTGCTATCCCATTACGCAGCAGTGTGCTTGACACAAAGAAGGGACTCAATTATAGTATCAAATGAAGACCTTGGAAGCCTAGTGGTTAAATTACCCCTGTTGTGAGAACTTTCTGTACATACACTACTTCTGACTAGTCTTCCACCCAAGCTAAGGATTGCCAATGGGCAAAGGGTCCAGGACTTATGGAAGAGTGGAAGGGAGACCACAAACGTAGGCAGCCTGATGAAGCCCTACATCCCTCACCTTCAGGTACTATGTGATTGATGGGGCTGATGATTCTAAATGAGTAGGAGCAGCATTGAAAAGGTGAAGTTACCCTTGGGCCCTGCATTTAGAAAACTGTACAAGATATGAATTTGGTAAAATTAGCTATCATTCTTCAAATTACCTTAGAACTCGTTGCCAAGTTCTCTGAGCAGCCAGCTCCGTTTGATGATTTCATTCATGAAAACTTGATAAGTATGGGACATTATGGGAAGATGTAAGGGGATGCAGTAAGGCATTGTATTGTCACATTAAGCCGTCATTTTGAATATCCCAAGATATTTTTTAATGTCTCAATTTAAAGTACAAGGAACTTGTTCCTATAAATCCTGAATTTTGGGATAAGTTTTAAGGGTCCAGGTAGAGAAGGCAATAATGATGCCTCTCCACTTACTGTGGCAGGTTATGAATAACCGTCCTCAGGCTGCATTTTCACGGACTCCATTTTCACCTTCCAGTATTTATCAGAGCATTCCTGTGAATCAAACAGGAATTATCTCTTTCATTTAAGATTGAGAAAGAATTCCCTAGAAAACTGCTTGATTTTTACGACAGTAATGAGAGCTCTGGGAGAATGTCCGAGTGCACACTTGCAATGTATCAGATATTTCTGGTGGGTGAGAATTGTCAGAAAAAAACCCCACTCCTCTCTTTCGCCCACACAGAGCAGGAATAGAATCAGTTGCAGTTAATTAGCCAAGAATCCCTCTTGGGAACCAGCCGAACACTCAGCAGGAAGGTGCAGCATAATTCGGAAGGTCTGCCCCTGGCCTGGGGTTTCCTAGTGGGCTGCAGAGCCACCTAAGGTTCTCCTCTTTGTTTCACTCCAATCCCAGACACACTCATTCATTTAAATACTGAGCTCAGATGAAGTTGTGAAATGAAATGGACTGTTCCCTCACTCTGTGGAACTGCTCTCATGTTCCCTTCCCCATACTGGGTCTCTATGGGCAGAGCTTACACCTCTGCAGTCACAGGATCACAGATTTGGTAGCTCCCGTGGATGGATGTGGAGTGAAAAAAGCAGAAGTTGTGTTCTCAGCTGCAGGAAGCACTGCCACCTTGCCTTTCAGTTCACCCTTTGAGAGAATCACCAGTTTGTTATGCTGGTTTGTTTTAATTACATTAGAAATGAGTCACACTGAGTCAGCTTAATGGGAGTGGTAGAAGCTTAAAATAAATCAGTTTGTTTGAGTTGTGACCACTTGTAATCCTTTATGGAATGAATTCTATAGACAGAACTTTGATCTCTTATATCTGGTCCAAGTATTTTCTTTCGGAAATTTAAAAAAAGACGGCCTTATTATGCTTGTTTGTATCAGTTTTTCTTTCTGCTTTTCATATCTTTCCAAAGTCAGATATGACTTGGCACATTTTGGACAAGTCATAGTGGAATGAAATAAAGAGCAGAAACTGGACAGGTGTACATTTCAATAATATCAATAGTGGGGGGCACGTTTCTTACAATATGGGTACAAATATGACATCTCCTATTTGCCTATCAAATTTCCACCTCCTTTTCCTTTTGCAACTTATTAGAATACCTACGCACAGTTTAAATTTGCTAATGGTATACATCCTGAAGCTTGGTCAGAGCAATACAAACAGTCTCCTGCTTGGGCAGGTTAAACTATTTGATATTACATAAAGTTGTAGACAGTTTTCTTTGGAAAACTCTGGGTAACTGCCCTCCAACTTGGTCATGTGCACAGTTGTATATGTTGATACTTCAAATTATACAAACCAGAGGTAAAATTGGTGTAGTCTCCTAAGATGGTAGGAAGGAAAGGCGGTTAAACACTGCTTATATTGAGCCATGTTTGTCTCCCTGTAGTAGTGTGACACCACTAAGCTACAAGAAACTGAGAATCGCGTCAAGTCTGCCAGGGTTCCCAAGAATGTATAGTACATTACTGGTCTTGCATTCTTGCGCTTTTCATCTCCCCCATATGAAATAGCATCAGGTTGCTTTGCCTTTTTAGTTTCTGTTTTTCTTCAGTAGTCTGTTTTTTTCAATTGCTACCCCTTTTTTTATGATAATTATATCTTTCTCCTTTGTCTATTAATCTTCTATTGTGCAAAATGAATAATTTTATCTATCATAAGAATAGATTCTGAGTCAGGACCTGAATACTTCTCCTTTGAGTTAAAGTTATTACTTATGGTTTTTGGACATTACACCATTTGTTTTGACTTACTATATGTTAGATAGTAGAGTTCACTGGAAAATTTGTCAACAAATATATCAGGATCCCCTTATTTCCTTCCTAGGCTATGGTGAGGCTGAAATGATATTATAAAAGTAAAAAGACTTCAAAATAATTCAAAGATCAAGGAAAAAAGAATCACATTTATTCATATTCACTAACACTAGTATTCTTTTTTAAATTTTTATTGAATTTATTGGAGTGATATTAGTTAATAAAATCATACAGGTTTCAGGTTTACACTACTATAATATATCATCTGTATATTGTATTGTGTGTTTACCACCTAAAGTCCGATCTCCTCTGTCACCATTTATCCGCCTTTACCCTCATTCCCCTTTCCCTCTGCTAATCACCATACTGTTTTCTGTATCTATGAGTCTGTTTCTATTGTTTGTTTCTTTATTTTGTTCATTAGATCCATATATAAGTAAAATCATATGGTATTTGTCTTTCTCCAACTGGCTTATTTCACTTAGCATAACACTCTCCATGCCCATCCATGTTGTCGCAAAAGGTAAAATTTTCTTCTTTTTTACAGCCAAGTAGTATTCCAGTGTGTAAATGTACCACAGATTTTTTATCCACTCATTTACTGATGGGCACTTGGGCCGTTTCCAAATCCTGGCTATTGTAAATAACACTGCAATCAGCATAGGGGTACATATATTCTTTCAAATCAGCGTTTTGGGTTTCTTCGGATATATTCCCAGAAGTGGAATCACTGGGACATAAAGCAGTTCCTTTTTTTTTTTTTGGAAACTCCATACTGTTTTCCATAGTGGCTGCACCAATCTGTATTCTCACCAACAATGCATGAGGGTTCCCTTTTCTCTGCATCCTCGCTAGTACTTGCTGTTTGTTGATTTATTGGTGATAGCCATGCTGGCAGGTGAGAGATGATATCTCATTGTGGTCTTGATTTGCATTTCTTTGATAATTAGTGACATTGAGAATCTTGTCATATGTCTATTGGCCATCTGTATATACTCTTTGGAGAAGAATCTATTCAGGTCCTTTGCCCATTTTTTAATTGGATTGCTTGTTTTTTGGTGTTGAGTTTTATAAATTCCTTATAAATTTTGGATATTAACCCCTTTTCAGATGTATCATTGGTGAATATGTTCTCCCATTCAATGGGTTGTCTTCATTTTGTTGAGTGTTTCCTTTCTGTACAAAACTTTTTAGTTTGATGCAGCCCCATTTGTTTATTTTTTTTCTTTGCCTGAGGAGACATATCAGAAAAAATATTGCTAAGAGAGATGTCAGATATTTGACTGCCTATGTTTGCTTCTCGTACTTTAATGGTTACAAATGTTGCATTTAAATCTTTAATCCATTTTGAGTTAATTCTTGTATATGGTGTAAGAAGGTGATCTAGTTTTATATTTCCGAGTGTATATGTTCAATTTTTCTAACACCATTTATTGAATAGTCTGTCTTTATCCCATTGTATTTTCTTGCCTTCTTTGCCAAATAATAATTGCTCATAAAGGTGTGGGTTATTTCTAGACTATCTATTCTGTCCCATGGATCTATATGTCTGTTTTTCTGCTGGTACCATGCTCTTTTGATTGCTATGGCTTTGTTATATAGTTTCATATGAGGTAGTTTGATTCTCCCAACTTTGTTCTTTTTCTCAAAATTGCTATTTTGGATCTTTTGAGGTTCCATGCAAATTTTTGGAATATTCGTTCTAGTTCTGTGACATACACCATTGTTATCTTGATATGAATTGCATTGAATCTGTAGATTGCTTTAGGTAGTATGGACATTTTAATGATGTTGATTCTTCCTATCCATGAACACAGTATATGCATCCATTTCTTTGTATCTTCTTCAATTTCTTTCTTCTGTGTCTTATAATTTTCCAAGTACAGGTCTTTCACATCCTTGGTTAAATTTATTCCAAGGTATTTTTATACAATTGCAAATAGGATTGTTTTCTTAGTTTCCCTTTCTGCTAGTTCATTAATAGTATATAAAAATTCAACTTATTTTTAGATATTTATTTTGTATCCTGCTACTTTGTTGGATTAATTTATCAGTTCTTGTAGTTTTTGATGGAATCTTTAGGATTCTCTCTATATAGTATCATGTCATCTTCAAATAATGACAATTTTACTTCTTCCTTTCCAATTTGGATGCCTTTTCTTTCTTCTTCTTGCCCTATTGCCATGGCTAGAACTTCCAATATTATGTTGAATAAAAGTGGTCACAGTAGATACCCCTGTCTTGTTCCTGATGTTAAGGGAAACACTTGTAGTTTTTGCTCATTGAGTATGATGTTGGCTGTCATATATGGCCTTTATTATGTTGAGGTCTGATCCCTCTATTCTCACTTTGCTGAGTGTTTTTATAATAAATGGGCTCTGGGTTTTATCAAATGCTTTTTCTGCACCTATTGAATATGTGATTTTTATCCTTCATTTTATGTGGAGATTCACATTTATCAATTTGTGGATACTGACCATTAATATTAATAAGCATTTTTTGTTGCAGCCAGAGTTAATCCCATAAATACCCTATGGGTGAATATTTTTTGGTCATAAGGAAAACAGACACTATGAAAGAGATTTTAGTAGAAAGAAGACTGGTCCTATCACTAATAGTATCCATTAACCTAGTCCTAGAGAGATCTGGGGATAGCCTAGATCTCTAATGGTTCCTGGACCATCATGAAGTAGATACAGATAATGGTGATTATGATGAGGATGACAGTGAAGATGAGGACAATTATGATCATTTAACACATACTGAGTGCTTGGGCACTGTTTTAAGAATTTTATGCAAATTAACTCAATTTGTTCAACCATCTTATCCAGCTCATACTGATATCTCCATTTTATAAAAAAGACACAGAAAAGATAAGTAACTTTTCTGAGGCCAGATAAACAAACTAAAGATGATTGTTGACCCACCTGGAAAAAAATAAGCAGTTGCCTAGTTTTATTTATTCTGGGCATTAGGATGCTTTGGCAATTGTTAGCATCCCATATAAATCATAATTTTCTAGAAAAGAAGTTTCCATATACTTACCTCTTATGTAAATTGCATTCTTCATTGTAGTCAAGTCCTTAACGATAGGCACCTTATTATTTTGGAGCCACTTTACCTAACAATGCTTTGGAAAAAAACAAAACAGGAACTCAATGCAGGTTGACAGAATGAACACTTTTTGTATCTAAACTCTCTTGAGAGCATTATAAGATCTCTGTATAACAACAGGTTATGTTGGTTTCTACCACTTCCATTTGCACATCCATTTTACAGAATCTATGTAACCTGTGTTTCAGTGTATTGAACTATTGTGTCAAGATATGTTCAAAATAAGTAAAGGAAGTATTTAAAACACATGCTGTCCACTCTGGTATAAATATTATTTTAATAATGTAAAATTGTTATAAATCAGGGTGATATATTTACCTATAGAGGCCCACAGTACTAATATAAATGCTGTAAGTCTGAAAACCCTCATGGACCTCAATATGAATGGAATTGATGTCACTTATAAGATTTATTATTTTTCAGGGGAATGACACGCTGGGGAGAATTTGATGATCTTTATCATATTAGTGAACTGGACAGGACTGAGATTCCAGTGTCTGAAGCAATGAATTCCCAGGAAGGTCAGTGTCAAATTGTTATTAATGAGGAGACTTTACAACATTAATCATAAATGCTTCTCTGAAGTCTAACATTTTACACACTACTACATAATAAACTCTTACTTTATGTTTTTAAAAAAAGGCTTTTAGGAATACACCAACTTAAATCACTACAGTTCTGATATGATGTTTAAGAACATTACTTAGTTCTAGAAAAATATGATGGTTTTTAAAAATTACATCAAGTCACTTAGATTTATTAAATTAGGGAGAGCTAAAGGCTTGAATTAAGTTTGTCCTCATAAAATGGTTCAATGTTTTCCCAAGGATTAGGATTATTTATTATATTCAGTAGCTTTTTATGTTAGGCCATGCATCTCAGACTGAACTTCACATCGTTTTAGAAGTTGACCATTTTAGTTAGTAGATATTTACATAACATTGCTTCTCAGAAAGAGGCAGATATACTGAGGTCACTATTTATACTTGATAGAGTTGTTTCAAGCATTTGTTTTAAAAAGAGAGAAATCTACTTGAACATCGAATGAGTTCATATGTTTTCCAAACCAATGGAAAATGCCAGCACCTATAAAAATGGCATCAGTAGTAATGACAATAATAATTTATGTGATAGTAATTACATTAACGGCTATCACTTACTGAGACTACTGAGTGTCAGGTATGATATCTTATATTTTACAGAGATTTTGGTTTTTGTATAATATATAGAGATCCAAGAAGGAGGGTGACTGAGTCTGGAGCAGGTTCATGTTTCTGGTGGTGATACTACCAAGCTGGCTTCAGACTGAACAAGGGTTCCTGTTGACATTACCTTCCTGAGTCTACCAACAACTTCCAGTGTTTATTTATTTTTTCAAACCATTCTTAATTCAGCTTCCTCTGCTTTCATGTAACAAATCATATTGTATAACAAACATGATGTCCTTCTAGGATTCCCTGATCCTTGTCTTATGGCCTCTTGACATCTTTTAGATAAGGATCTTTCCAATTAGCCCCTTGGAAAAAAATACTCATCTAAACCCAGGGGACTGTCAATATCTTGACACCAAAAATATAATAAACATCTCTTTGTATTTGAGGACCAGTGCTAGAGAAAGATGAAATATCTCATGCCTATTTCATGATGCTCTAATTACAATAGAAAATTATTTAAAATCTCAAGGTAAAATAGAACACAAGTGCTGCCAACAGATTTTATTCTTACACAAGAGCATTATTATTCCCTCACTGTTTAAAAGCATTAGAGTCCATTGCTTAGTCACACATTACTAAATATATACGCAAATCCACCCAAGATGCAAAGAGGTGGGCGGATAAATGATATGTGCCTATCATCTTTATTCTCCCAGATTATTTATCTTATCACAGCAGCACTCTGAAGCCTCATGCAGATGCAGAGCCAGAATCTCCATTGCTCTATAGAACCATGAGTGAAGCAACCCTGGTGAGAAAAAGGATGAAGCCTCCAATGATGGACAGAAAAGACAGACAGAAACATAGAGCCTCTATTAATGGACACTTTTATAACCATGAAGTGAGTTACAATTCTATTGGTGTCATTTAAAATAGTGTTGTCTATTATGCTAATAATAACATGCAATTCATCTTACAATTAAAATAGTAATAGCAATAGTAGTAGTACATCTAACTAGAGGCCCGATGCATAAAATTTGTGCAAGAGGAGGCCCTCGTAGCCCCGGCTGCCTCGGCCCTTACAGCCCCAGCTGCCTCGGCCTTTGCAGCCCCAGCTTCGTCTGGGAGGTCATCCAGATGGTTGTTTTGTTGTAAGGCTGATCGGTCGATTTGCATGTTATGCTTTTATTATTATAGACTAGAGGCCCGGTGCACGAAATTAGTGCA